AAATTCCGCTTTGTAATTGTGCCCTATAACGCAGCGCAATATCACCGCTTCGAGGAGGTAGATACCGAGGGCGGGGGCGGGGAAAGGGGAAGGGGCGGAAGCGGCGAGTGGAGAGGGTGGGGAAAAGGAGAGAAATTTAACGCAGCGCTCAAAGTTTGATGCAAAAACGCATGATCGCACCGGCTCGCCTGGTGCGTTCCAGCCTGGGTTTTCAGATGCATTCAACTCTGCAATCGTGGAAGCTAGGGAAACTGTAAATAAGGATGTTCCTAGCCTACTTTCGATCTTGGCAATTTAAAACCACTGTTCACGTGTGCCTGAGTCTCACATACGGATGCACAAAAAACGTGTAAATTTTTTAATCGGAAAACGATTTCGGAAATTGGATAGGATAAGAAGCTAATATTTCTCATGGATATTCTCTAACCATGTTTGAGCAGGAGAACACGTCAATTCTGAAAATCAGGCAGTGCTGACAAGGTGCTAACTGGAGATTCAGCCTAAGTACCCTGTTTTCACAAGAATACGTTCACACGAAGGTAGAGGAACATAAAATAAACTTTGGCATACTCTTGTGTGGCACATTCACATAATTCGAAGATATTTCTAACGAAGGGCGATTCTTCCGACCATTAAACTAAGCAGCTAAAAATCTATAGGTACATTACAAGCCAAATATTTCAAATTCACTTTAAGTACGCGTAGGTCTTACATGCAAGTGAAAGTTGATGACACTGTTGACATTCAGTTAACTCAGTTATCCAGACCTTGGCAGAAAGCGGTATTTTTCTGTGGATATTTGATGTTGACTTACGGCCAGCAAGCGTAAAATGAGCCTTTGCTTAGACGTATGCCCTGCACGCAGATATATTAGATGTTCAAACTGTTAAGCCGGTTAACAGTTTGAACATTTGATATATCTGCGTTAATTACACCCCCGGTACAAGCAGTTTCTCTTTAGGGTAGAATTATGCAAAACCCCATTATCGCAAAAACGCCCACAATGCGGTTTTGCATGATTCTACCCTGAAGAATTGACAATTCGTCCCAAACTAAGAACAAATAATGAGGAGCAGTAGTTCTAGAAATTTGGTCGTTTATCGATTTCCTGTAAAGCTTCTTGAAAAGTACAGGCTCAAATAATCAGTCAGATGTTATTCGCAATACGCAAAAATTAATTAGTGCCTGTGAACGTGTCAGGAGATTTAACACACTATTCATGATGGTTTAAAATTTACCCTTAAGCATAGGCAAAATTAGAGATAACAAAATTGCTGTAGAAAAGATTCCAATTTTTCGCAAAAATGCAGTGCTGCAACTCAGTAAGTTTTCTTGTCGCCCGTATTACTCCTGTCAAAAAATTTTTGCTCCTGTTTTCAAAATCCTTTTGTTAAAAAGATATCAGAAATTTTGGAAAATTCCCGATTTTTAATGCTTTTAAGAAGTTTCGAAATTTCGTTTTTCAAATTCTGCAGTACATCAAATGATGGCACAACAAAGCCTTCAGCAGCTTAACTGCATATGTAATATGAGGAGCACATGATCACAACTGACCACTTTATTCGCCTTCACAAAGCTATAGCACATCAGAGCATTACCGGAAGACCCAAGTTTCTAGGTAGAGTGATAGAGGGAACTCTCTGGAAAATTTCGACAAATATTTAGTTACAGCAACTTTCTAAAAGGGAACGGAGGACGGCAATTATACTCCATTAATGAATGAGAAACATGGGCGCGTAATAAACCGCAAAAATAGAGTTCAGAACCTAGTAAGCTTGAAGGATAAGAATTCGCACAGATGCTCCTGAACAGCAGAGGACCTAGAGGCGCGAATTTTACTTTTTAGCACGCCTACATTTCAAGCACAGCGTCGAGAAATTTTAAAGTGCAAAATTGTTGGTGTCTATCTTATTTTTTTTTTTTTTCGCAGCGCTTTTATACCTTAATTTTTCGTGCATACGCTCCACTGCTGTCCCCGCCCTCTCCCTCCTCTATCGTATGCATATTCTGCAGTGTGAAAACAGTTAAATTTCCGCTCCCATGTAACGTGTGGACGTGTGAGATTTAGAATGCAAAGTTACCAACTTTCCCCATTCCAGCAAACAGACAAGCTAGAAATCATGATCACGTTGAAATTCCTCTTGTGCCTAATAAACGCACATGCTGAGCACGAAATGACATCAAAAACCTTACTGCAGAGAAGTCAGGGAGTCCATTTAAACTTATGCAGCATTACGAGGGGAAAGATCAAGTTGCAAAATGATGTACCTTATTTCTTTTTGATCTCAGGATGCAAAAGTGAGGTTGAAGGCTAAGTTTCCAAACCAAGATTAAGACGTTTTCAAGCATGTGTGAACTTGCTTCCTAGCAAACATCTAGTGGATAGAACTACGCGAAAAACCCGTATCTACTCCATTTTTCTACCTTTATGCATTTCGCAATCAGCAATTCTAACAAATTAGCACTGCGTTAATTTAGGATTTTCTTTTAATCTCGAAACGGTTGTAGAACTTTTGACATAAAAGTGCTTTGGGATTTGAAGTGATAAAATATACTCATACCAAAACATTTGCCTTACAATAAATAATCTTACTTGACTAAAACACATGCAAGATGCTAGGCTTCTTGTAAATCTTCCGCGCTGATGCATTTTATAGCAGCGTGATTGAAGGATGCAAGCGCTTTGTGAGCGCTTGCAAATGCGTAAAATATACTGAGGCAGTGGCGTGTGGGGGTTTTGACGGATAAATGAAGCTCACATGCTACTTTGTTGTAAGCTGAGGAGTTCTGTAACTTTACTGGCAAAAGCAATTCAAACGAGTCAAACAAAAAGACGATGAACAAACAGTAACTGTCAGCTGTGAGAATCGTAATACTGCACCGAAACACTACTCCGATCGATGCGAATACCGTTGAGATTCATTTCGATACGTGGCAGTGCGCTTATCAATACATTTTTCACTGCTGATGCATCAATTTGTCCATGGGATGGTACGGAAAGAGTAATAGAAAAGTCGACGAGTAGGTCTGCGCCACTGCAATTGTACAAGAAATTTCTCATTTGACTTTATGCAGTAATAAAAGATTTTTAGATTCATAGTATGCGACATAAGTTGCATTCCCTTGGATACGTTACTTAAATGAAATAGCACAGTAGTGAAGAGGTCTGTGGTGGGTCCAAAGTAGTAAGCCGGAGTTGGAAAATAGCCACTTGGAAAGTAATCAAATGACGTTGATTCGCGGTCTGATATTTAAACGTTTCTAAATAGCTTCCTGGCAATTCGGGCTGCTTTCAGCATATTTTCCAGATAGTTCATCGGACCAGACGAAGAGACAAATAGTTGAGTTTTTGGATGTGTCCACTGAACGGAAAAGAGCAACACCCACTGCTTTTTGGCTCAAACAGTACGTACAGATCCCCCCTCTCTCCCTGCCCCCTCTCCTTTCTAATTCGCTACCACAATTCCCTAGCTAGTTTTATGCGTAATGCAGCATCCGCAGCATAGCTGCACAATGCCCCATCAAAAATGCCACTCATCTGGCCTAATCTACACTTTTCCGGGTGCAGATAATTGCTCAGTTTGAGCGGCGTTTACATATCCTGCTCACAGATGTGAACCAGAAAAAT